CTTAAATAAAACTCGTGTGTCGCGTTATAAAGCATGAGAGCATGATAGCAAAGTATCGCGTCGAATAAGGCAAAACATTTAGCAAAAACAGCAAAAATTTAAGTTTTTGGCTTTGCGCATTTTTCCCAATTAATCTTTTGTGTTCCTTTAAGACGAATGCCAATCAACATATTATCTGCCAACTAAACATTTTTTTCAAAAAAAACCTCAATAAGTATTTTAATTCAAAAATGTTTGTTTTCATTGCATCGAATTTGCGTCGTATGAAAACTTATAAAAATTATTAAATTTTACAGAATGTACTTTTGGGAATAAAGACAATTGAGGGCCAACATATGAATGATGTTATTGTGATAACAAATAATGGTTACATAGCAGTTTTTAGACAACCGCGTATTCAGACTCGTCAGTATTTAGACAAAAACTGTTTCAACCAATCAGAATCGAGACAAAGAAGAAACTAATAAATTATTATGATTTATTTTTGATTAGTTAAGTCTTTTCTCGATTCTGATTGGTTCATACAGTATTTGTCTAAATACTGACGAGTAAGAAAACGCGGTTGTTTAAATACAGGCTGCACTCCCAAATAATGATTACAGTTGTCTTCTATCATTTATAGGTATTTAGCATAGTGGTAAGGCGTTCACTTTGAGACCGGCAGATCGTGTAGTCCTTAAGTTATCAATTAATCGTAAATAACTAACAAGACTGCTCGTTCAGGGCCAAGCTCTGAATGTTCCGACTGCCTTTTAAGATTTTATGGAGCAGTAGTAACATTAAAAAATAAATGTAACAAAATAAAATTAAATTTTTTTTTCTAAAATTTGAAACTTTTTAATGACAATCATCCCCCCACACGCCATAATAAGAACAAAAGAATAAATTTCGCTCCGTGCAACAAATCAATTACGGCAAATAAGCTTCTCTCAACCAATTTAGAACAATTTTAAGACGGATTAATTCTCCGCTTACGCGTTAATAGCGCGAAATATATCGCGCGTTAATTGTCCCAAATTGGCCAAAATGGCAATCTTTAAACTCCCATAATTTTACGAAAAATGAACACAGGTAAAAAAAAATTTAAAATTTGAGCTCAGGACAACAATACTTTTTCAATGATATAAAAAACTTCGACAAAAATGGCTAGTTAAAAAGTCGAAATTTGTCTGAAGAAAAAAAAACCCACTCCGAGCACAAATATTCCGTTACTTTCCTATCGAAAGTCGGAACAAAAACTAACTTTTTTCAGTATTTTTCTCAGCAGGCAATAAGATACAATTTTGCCATTAATAAACCGACTGCCCTTAAATAACATACTTTTTATACTATAGAAGGCTACTGTTTTCTGAGAAAAAAATACACGATTTTGGACATTTTAAGTTTTTCCTTGCCATGTAAAATAGAAACACATTGGTTTTCTTCTATTAAGGTATCAACCAAAGTAAATAACTTGCCTCAAAGTGATTTGGAATTTTTTTAGCTGGAATGAATCGTCGCTCACGCTTTAACAAAAAAATGCATCGCGCGTTAATTTGTCTCGAATTGGAAAAACTGATAATTGTCAAATTCCCGCAGTTTAAGGGAAAATAGTCAAGGCTCAAACTTTTTGAATTTTTTTTAAAGTTTGTCAAAAAAAATTTTAGCTGCTCAAAATGAAAAATATTTTAACTGCAACAACTTTTCGTTAAATTATGTGAGAGTTGAAGTTATTCAGTCATTCTTAGGGTTCAGTTATTCGTACTATTATTACGTAATTGTTATGTAATAGTTATGCAATAATTATGTAATTGTGTAAAAACTGCGAAAACTTGTATATGGAGCTCGTATAAACGTAAAAGAAACTAAAATCAACGAATTTCGGCCTTGTCTGACCGCGAAAAACAGGTTTTTGGCTGCGAATTTTCTTGTTTTGTGTCATTCATTGCTGCTAAATTAATTTACAGAAATTTTAGGTTTTCAAAATCGTTGTGAGGTTGATATAATTTTTTGTTCCAAAACCTTGTTTTTTAATAATTCTGTTTGTTAATTTCCTAAATTATTTTCCTATCTATTGAACCCTAAGTGATAAAAAATATGGCATGTAATTAACTATAGTCTTTTATTATTTTGAAAAAAAAAGATACATTCAAGAAATAACCTGAAAAGAAAAAAAAGTTCTACAACAAGAAAAATTTGAATAGCAAAAATTAGGGAAAAAAATCAGCATTATTTGACAAATTACAATTTTTGGGTATTTTCTTTCATATTTTCACGAAAAATTGTATAATTGTTACAAAAACATGTCGATTTATTTCAATACTGGTTTGTATAATTAGTTTGCAAAAAGATATTAATTTTTTTTTGTCAATTTTTCGGAATTGATTTTTTTATTCGAAGTTCAGATTGATCTAAATTCCAAATCCATTGTCTTAATTAAAAATATTACCCATTAGTTAGGTTGTCGTGAGCTTGCTCTAAGGCCGGCCCAACCATACGTGCTGAAACCGTTATTGTGAGTAGATTCAGCGTGAACTAGTATTCAACATTAACGAACTAATAAATAAAAGCTACTGCAAAATGACTATCAACTTCAACACAAACCGATGCAACAATTTCAATGTTGTAAAGCAAATGTTGTGCCTGCCAGAACTTGAACCAACACGTCATTGAACGAAACGAAAGCACGTAACACTGCGTATAGGTTTTTTTTTCGAAAACTACCGCCAATTTTTATTTTCATAGAGGGAAAAACTGAGACATCACATTGAAACAGAAAAAAAATTGCCCAGTCTCCTCACTCAAAAGTATATGAACTACCACGTTCGAGACTGCCTCATGGAAAGTCCGAGCAGAACTCTACAGTCTACTTCTCCGAGTAATGCTCTTTCTGGACGAGTGAAGAATTTCTCGCTATGCAAGTATTGCCCTACACGAACCCATGGACTCAAATGGAAAAAGGGATGCATTTTACAATCTGATCTTGTTGAACATGAATCGAAGAATAAACAAAGCTCGATAGTTTTAGTTTTTTGAAAAAGATTGAAGAATTTCGATATTTTACAACTCTTGGAACTTTCCCTGAGCCCCGATTGTGTGCGACCCGTTCGGAGTGTTAACTTGAAGTATTGCTTCTCGTGTTATATATCTTTTGTACTGCATGTTATTGTGAAGCATCTACTGATAACTTATTCAATAAATAAAACCCTTATATACTTGTTTTGTGAATTCGGACTGTGCGCAGTCAGACCACCTTCAGATTAAACCAAACAAAGTTGATCCCCCAGTTTTTATTAGGATCAATTGAGACCTAAGAAAGGAGGGTAATCATAGGATCAGAATCCAACGATGAAGTTGCATCAACCTGTCCGGCCGAAAATAGTTAGCGTGACAAACAGACGCTGTTTTGTATTCAAAATTCCTCTATGACCACAAATCGGTTGCAACTCACACAACTGGTTCCTTCTGATTGGTAGGTTATTTTGTTTCTAAGAATCAGTCCGTTTTTTTTTTCTATTACAGAAAATGGTTTGTTTTCCAATCTTATTTTGAAGAGTTATTTGAAATACGTCTTGCGCAAACTTTTACGTCGAAAAATTCATTTTTCTGGAACATTAGTTTTTGTGTTACCCAGTTTGATAACTGATTAGTATCCCAACAAAATTGCGCTTTTATTCAATTACAAGTGAAAAAATGGAAAAAAAAAACGAAAACCCACTGATCAGCCAAAGATTACGATTCCATGGCGGTTTCAGGGCAAAAAAATAGATTTTGTTGAGATTATGTGGAGATAAAAAATTGATTTTAGTGGAATTAAAATGCAATATAATCTTTATGAAAATAATTCAGTTTCTTTCTATTATTGTCATATCTCAACGTATGATCTTTGAGTTCCAGAATCCGAATGGATTGACAAACAGATAATCTAATTCGGGGCGAGATAAAACGTCTATTCTGAACCACGTGTATTTTATGGTCTGACCGTTCGGTCAACGTCTTGAGATAGGATCTCTCAAGGTCGATTAACCGGTCAAATGAACAACAACATAAATCATAAGTATACATTTGGCAACATTTTCTCAAGATAATCTATTTTTATCCGAGAAACTTCGGTGCGGGTAGCTATTTTGCATAGCTATTTACTACGATGAGTTTAAATGTGGTACGGCGTGGTGTGCGCCTTCCCTTATGAAAGTGCATTTGTGTTATGTTGATCCTGAAGGTCAAAGTGTTAGTTGTTAGAATGAGTGAGCTTGATTGTCAAGGTCGGTACTAGACGACAGTGCTAATGATCTAATGTTTGAATAAGATCACTCTCAAGTTATCTGGCGAAAGATACAGATATCATAACGTTCTTTATTCAATACAACTTTTATACAATTGGTTTTACACTTAAGAGTCTGTCAATTGATATTCCACGCCACCATTGAAATTTTAACTATATCATTTAAGTTAATTTTTAATTGTTAAATTTACAAACTTTGGAATTACAATACATGTTAAAAATAGACCAAGAAACTTGTCTGAGCTTCACCCATTACGAAAAAACAAACATTATCTTAGTTTGCTCGCTATACATATTATCAGGGCTGGATTCAGAGTATTCTCGAGAGAGATTTTTTGAAAATTTGATTTTTCGGGCTCTCCCAAAACACTATGAAGATCCTGTTTTGACTAAAAAAATGTACGGTAGTATATTTTTTGGCATTTTTTGAAAGTTTTCACAAAAAATTGCGTGGTTTTTTTGGCGCGCGCTCCCACATTAACGTCAGTGTATAATGGTGGCAGATGCACGTTTCTTAAAGTGATATGTTCGGCCGGCTGAAAATTGTACCAGAGGAGGACCCTCTGGGTGGTGAGGGTGTTGAAACCCTAAATAGAAATAGCGACCAGACAACCCCCTACTCAATCTCTAAATACGCCTTTGCGTAAAAAAGCGATCCAGCAAAAAGCTTTTTGCGATCCTGCAAAATAAGCAAAAGAACTTTAGGTTGTCAATTGAGAAGCATTTGCGTTGTCAATTGATATTTTTTGAATAAATTTATTATGCATGCCGATGATAAAAATTTAAGAGTAATAATGGTGAAATAGAGCGAGCCATTAGTTTGTTCCTGGTAGTTTAGGATACCATTCGATATGTTTTCGGTATGTCCATAGGGTTCAGCCTCTACACTTGTCTCTGATCTGGCGGTGGTTCAAGTGTGCTCAACATGGCATCTATAGTGAACCCGTCTTCAATAGCGCATCCCGTACCCGAACCTCCTCCTCCTGCTCCTCCGCCGCTCGCTACATTTTGCGTCCCATTACACGGAATTAGTTCATTTCCTACCGTCTCAGTTAGGTCGCTGAAGCTGCTGGCCGTAGAGCGCTTAACAAGCAGACTTCGGTTGGAATTCCGGCGGGAGATTACGATGGCAGAGTTATCCTGCAGTTGCACCTGATAAAAACACCGATAAATTTTTATCACGATCAGTTCTTCAAATGAAAAATTACTCTCTGAAAAAAGGACTTTTTTCAGACCACTTCACGGACAGGTAGGACACCATGTTATAAAGTGTGCATTTTTTCCTCCCATTTAAAGTAACTCAAGCTAATTTTGCAACTCCCCCCCCCCACCCCACCTCTCTACAGCTCTTTGCCCCCCTTTGGTACTAATTGAGGCATTTTGTTGTCCAACCCTAATTTTTTTGTAAAGTGGCCAATATGTACTTATTTTGAGGGGGAGCGCGCGCAAAAGAGGGGAAGCGCGAGCAATTTTTTGTTGGAAACAATCCAAAAAGTTATCAAAAACGGGCATCTCATTTTATACATGTAGCATACAGTTACACAGATTTATCCTCAAATAGTACCAAAATTTTCAAGACCATTTATCCACGGGGGAAAGGACCAACACAAGAGCTGTACAGCTGTTGTGCCCCTGTTTAAGAACTACATGTTTTTTTTTTGGTTATTTTTCTGGGCTGGGTAATGTTGCTTCACCCTCAAGGAACGAGCACGGATCATGGTGGGCCTCGAACATCCTACCTTACGATTGAGAGGCGGAGACGTAACCACTTCACCACCGCTCGCCAAAATGTACCTTCTGGTTATTGAGGGGGTCGAGCCCCTAATAAAAAAGCGCACCAGCAAACTATTGAAAGAAACATTTGAAAACTTCTTGGTTTCTAATCGATAATTTTTGAGGGTAGCGGGATGGTTGCCTCTGGGGGGAGAATGTGGTGGCTGACGACCCAAAATGTCGTCACAGTTTCGTCTCAATTTTTAGAAGAGGGTGGTTGACGACCAAAAAGCCCCCCCTGCCCTTTTATAAATTTGCATATTTTCGGAATTCCTACCTGACTCGTGTGATGTGAGACGAGGAATGAGTACAGTTCCTCCACCTCCTGAGTCTCCACGTGACCCCTCCTCTGCTTCGCTTTACCCACTCTTCCCCCCACTGCCCCTAGTGACGGGGGGCTAGCTGCCGCACCTCCTACATAGTGCACGAGGTTGTTCTCCCTCGCAAACTTACCCATGCCCTCCTTCATCTCTTCTAGTGAAACCTGAAAACCATTTGCAGCCACGTGAACAGAATTACTCAAAAAGTGTTTCATTACAATTTCATAAAGAAAATTTTTTTCAGAACATTGAAGACAAGTCGGAAAAAATTGACATTGTGTTTCCCAACTTTTTTTCTTGTTTTTTTTATACTTTAAATTCAAGTGTCTCTTTAGGTATCTCAAAATCTGTGCTCACATTTCCGTTTTTATTCTCATCCAGCACAGAAAATGCCCTCTCGATATCAAAACAATCAACCGGGTCCGGGAACATTCTCTCCAGCTCACAAAGCAGTTCCGGGAAATCCACCTCTCCTCTTTGCCCCTCCTCTTTTGACCTTGAAGTTCCGACTCCCATTTTGTTAATCTCTCCTACTAACTCTGCTGCAACTGAGTGACGCTTTCCCTTGTGGTGTCCTTTATTTGCGTCGCATTTTTTGTTGGTCCCAGTCGTCTTTGAGGTTTTTTTGGTGGGGGAGGGAATCATGGAGGCGGGTAAAAATGAAGAGACCGTGGAGGTGTCAATACACCTGGCGTACATCTGGTCCACAGATTGGTCGAACTGAGATTGGTTTGCGCTGTCTATTCTCATTAATCTACGCAACATATTGGCGGGAAAGGTTGTTTATAGTAATGTCGGATCTACTGAACAATCTCCCCCTTTCAAGAAAGAGAGGAGGGGATATTGTTAAGTAGATTAAGTTAGTCGAATTTTCGGCCAATCAGAATGCCTCTAGTGCTAATTTACTGGTTTTACTTATAGGGGTGGAGGGGGTCTTATGCACTTAACGTCCCAAAATCAACTTTTCTATATCGTTAGCTAAAATTTCTGCAATTGAGAACCGAATCTGATTGACTAATTTTGGCATTCCAATCATCTTTTCCTGCAGATGAAAAAATATTAGGCAAAATTACCAAAAAAGTGGATCTTAAAAAAGTTAAAATAAAATTTGCGTTTCTTGAGCAACTTTGCCCAGACAAAAAATTCAGTAAAACGGCTTGACAAAATAAAAATTCTAAACTGTTCATCAATATGCCAACTGAAGTGGCAATGATTGAAATGGCGGGAAATGTACTGGTAAAAACCAAATGTTTCTCGATCCTTTTCAAGACTTATTTTCTCAAAAACAAAAAAAAACTTGTCCCATTTGCGCTACCTCATTTTATACATAAGCCCAATTGCGGAGGCACTAAATTGAAGCACTGTATTTACATTAGGGACTCTGTTAGCTGTTTGCCCCAAACATTTCTATTGCTCTATCGAGCAAATTCTGTGGCTTCGTAAAAAATATTCTGCTTTTTTCTGCTCTATGAAAATTATTTTTAATCATGCGTTTAATACCAAAAAAAAAATATTGTTCCAATCGCTTTTCGACAAAAAAAAAATCAAACAACTAGTAAGGCTCTTTCAGGAAGCAAACTAGTAGATTTTTGGAGCCGCGGATAGATTCATTTATTATGTTTCTGAGTAACAGAGCAGTTTTTGTTCGAAATTTAGTCGGATAGAGCATAGATGCGTATTTGGTAATTCCGAGAAAGAAAATTACAGCTTAATTTTTATTATTTTTGAAAAGTGGTGAATGATTAAAATTCTGCTCTATCTTTTGCTCTGTAAAGTATTTTGAGTTTATGCCTGGAGTAGCTTACTCATAGAATAATTTCAGATAAAGTACAACGTCTGTTCGTCACGCTATCTTATTTTCGACCGGATAGGTTTGTGCAACTTCTTAGTGTTATACCGATCTTAAAATTACTCTTATACCTCCTAGTCTCAATTGATCTAGTGTATACTGGTATTTGCGGGTTAGGTATGTGGAACTTATTCCAAAGGAGAACAACTGTCTACTAAGTTATATTTAAGTTGTTCTGATGCTGAAACTACAAGTAGTTTTAGCTTTACAAACAATTGTCCATGTTAGTTTTGGATCATGGTTGTTTAGTAGAAAATATTTTTTAGAGATAGATTTATGAAGAATATAATTGGTTAAAATTACTAGTTTTAAACTGCTTCCACTTATCCGGGGCTTAGATAGATTTTAGTTTTCAGGTTGTTTATTTTAGTGAAGGATGGATGGAGAGATTTCTTTGTTTATCGGAGTTTTTTTCTTTTGAAGCAGTGACTGAGTGACGGAAGGAGAGATGTAGTTGTCTTCGTGGAGAGAAGATTGGCAGTTCATTGATGTTTATTAATTGTTTTCGCAAAAGCGTTTTTATTTAGTTTCGGTTATTGTAAAGGATCGCTCACCCTAGATCAACTCACCCTAGAGCAACGCGGTGGGTTAGGCCGGCTATAGAGCATGCTCAGGACGTCCAGCTGGGTGGTGAAGCCAGTTGAGGGAGTAAGGTTTTTCCGTCTTTTTGAGAAGAGCCTCTTTTTGTGTTCAGTTTTTTGTTCAATTTTAAGAGGTGCTTTTCTATTTTTTGTTTTTGCTTGTGTCCTTCTATCAAAAACAGATTGTTTTGTTTTGGGTTTTCTTTTGTTTTTAGTGTTTCTAGTGGTTTCAATAAATTCTGGAAGTGGGTTTCAAAAGAATAACTTATCCAGTTTTAGTCTGGGTTTAACCTGGTCTGAGTACCGTGGGACTTTGTTTAACATGCGATTGGTTTTGTAGTATGAGTAGGCTGCGTTGATTAGTTCAAACTTACTGATAATCCTTCCAACTGGGTTATATGACAGTTCAAAACGCGTGAAAACAAGTTAGATTTGTTTTCAGTTATGATTGAAAAAATATCATTATGTAATTAATTCTACGTGAGCAAGTTATGCGAGTTTGGTGGATAGAGTGTGTGAAATGTGGTCAAGTAAATGACAAATATCAAGTTATAGCAGAAGCACACATAAAAAGGTTACATTCTTGTAAATTATTTGCATCTCATTAATTTACTATCTCGTATTTTTTGATTTTCACTACTGACTTATGAATTCATTGCATTGGTTATGACATTTTTTGCTCTCGGATAATTTAGGTTCATTGTAAGATTAAATAATAAAAATTTTAAAAAGATTTCGTGATTTTTAATTGGATTTTTCTGTTTTAGATGAATGACCGGTGGAACGTAAAAAAAGAACTGTGAATAAAACGAATCGTAATGGTGAGTGTCTTGTCTTATTTGTTAGTGTCTATATTAAAATACATACTTACGAGGGTTCTGTTTTAGAATAATCCATGGGGAAGTTAATTTTTATAGTGGCGCGTGCTATGAGAAGCTTGAAGAGCATGTTCATTACGTTTTTAGTGCGAAGCAACGGCCGAAGAAGTTCAAGCATTCTGATGATTTTAACTTCTTCGGTAGGTATTGAAAATTCATGATTTGTGTTTTGGTTTAGGCTATAATGATTGTGATTAAATTTAGTAATATGAATGTGCTTGAGTAGAGTTATTTCATTTGGCTGTACATATTTGTGGGGAGTTACTATTGGGCGAGCGTCATCAATGGGAAAGGTCTTGGTTAGTGGGCAGAGTATATACATCTGTCTGACGGTATCATAATTACGGAGGATGCCGGGTAATTATGTAGATTTAATACAATAGGTGAAAATCAAAAAATATGGTGACCTGTACTTGGAATAGATAAACATAAAATGGGGTGGTGTGTTTGTGATATAATGTTTTTGTTTAAATTATAATATGTGTAAGTGCGGGTTAGTTTGTTCTTTACCATAATTTCACGCGAACAGTGAGTGCCTCTTTCCTTGGGTGTAAGGAATGAAATGTGAGCCCAAAATGGTTAAATTTACTGAAAAATGGTTCGGAGGCTTTGGTGTTTGTTAGTGCGCGGGCGATTGTGTACTCAAGTTTTTTTCTTAGTGTTATCTAATTTGGAATATATATTCTGATCTGATGAAGTTTTTTTCGGTGGTTTGAGGATTAGTGTTGGGATCGTCTTCGTTTGGGGTATCTTCCATGTATCTGGTGACAGCATGATCGTAAAAGTTAATGGAAGTTTTGTTTGCGCGTGGTGCTAGAAATCTATTTAGGGTTTGGTTTAAGCCGATGGTAGTGAATTGATTTTCGTTAAGTGCATCGTTGGTTACTTAGTGAATAGAGTTCGTTGTTTTTGGGGTTAATTTGTAGTGAGTTTCAGTGGATTAGTAAAACTGTAGAAGGAAGTCTAGGAGAGTAAAGGAAGTAGCAGATTTGCATCAACAAATTTTGTTACGGGTGATGGGACTGTAGTCGGGATGAACGTGGACTTCTAATGAGAAATTGAGGTGTAGTATTAGGGTGCTTTCGTTTGAAAACTCGGTGTGCTTTTGTTGGTGCAATATCAACTGAATGAGTTGAGCATTTGGATGTTGAGGTTGAATGAGTTAGCTGGTGAATTGTTAATGCGTTATTTGTGCCATGAAGGTGTTGTTGAGTTATAAAATTATCTAGTTCAAGCTTTAGTTGATTGTCGGTCATTGGGCTGGCTGCGTCGGGTTGTTTACTTGACATTGGGGAAAAGATAGGGGCAGCGTCAGTGTATGAAGAGGGGGAGGGAGAAGTTTTATCGGGAAGATGGGAAGCAATGGGTTGAAAGAGTGGTTGGGAAAAACTTGTAGGGCTAGGTTCGGAGTCAAGGAATTCATCAGGGTTTTCTCTATCAGAATTATTAAAATTAGATATGGTGTTAATAACTGTTTTGGTTGAGTCGTCTGAATCCATGCAAGGTGAGTTAGAATACAAAGTGGGAAGGAGAGAAGAGGTGAGGTCTGAGAGTGAAATGCGAGAGGAGTGGCGTTGACGGTTTGAAGGTGAGGAAAGGAACGGTTGAGGGATCCAATCTGTCGGCTCATCGTGGGCTAAAAAGGTTTGTTCGTATGTGTCTGCAATTTGTTCTGCAATTTGTTCGTATGTGTTGTCAATATTTGGTTGATGGAATGTTATATGAGATAATGGACTTCGTGGGAAGTTACTACCTTGAGAATTATATTCAGTGATTGATACTGTATTAATTTTGTGGAACTAAGGTTAAAGGGTGATTATTTTGTAGATTGTGTATTACTGGTGGTGCTGTGGGTGTTGTATTTGTTTTGTATTGTGAGTGTCAAATGTATTTGGTTTTGTAGCCAACTTTTTATTATATTCGACAATTTGAGCTTCAAGAAGGATTTTAGTAATTAGGGTAGAAAATATTCCTAAAAATTCTGCAAATTAAATGCGTGCTACGCTTGCTTGGCTATCAAATTGTGTTTGTGTGTTGCACATGTATTACAAATTCCTTTGAGTAGTAAAAAGATAAATCCAACAAAACTACAAATTGCGTTTATTATAGTCAACCTTTCTAATATGAGGTAGGGCCATCTTAGAAAAGCTAGGATTTCGTTTTTTATATTAACAAAACTAAAATTATTAATTTCTGAGATATCTTACGAACTTTTTTTTTCACCGTTAAGACATAATAAATCTTTAATATCTTTAAAGTATCCTCTATATTTTTGTTTATAAACATCTGAGCAGCCTGCTGTTTCAGCTAGTTTTCGTAAATTTTGATCAATGGATTGACTTTGTTTTGTATTATCTTAGGCGTTCGTTGGTAGCGTCTTTTATCTTCAAAAACATAAAGCGGTAAAAATGTTTAGTGCGTGTGTGATAACAAAGATTGTTTCCCTTTAGTCAATGAAATTAGAGCGGTTGCCTGATAATAAGTATCCTGCGTAGGGTACTTTAAGTACTGCTAAAGCGAGTGATTGTAGTATTTGAGTTCGTTTAACTGATTGTGTAGTCCAATTTGATATCAAGATCTACATAATAGTGGATTGCACCAAATGGGTGTTATTTATTAGCGTACGTTTATGTAGTCGACTGCTATCTTTATCTTCAGTGTGAATTTTTCCGCCAGTTTTTCCTGCTTTCTTGTAAAATATACTGGGATGTAGGATCTTTCGTCGTCCAATTCTGATATGGGTGTGCTGTGTCAATAATTAATTCACCTGTTTTCATGTCGAAACCTTTGTCATATTCGACAAGAATTTCTGAAAAACGTTTTTTGAATAGTGCTAAGGGGTATTTTCACGCTACTTCCAATTCAGGGTAAATTTGAAAGCGTGTTAAATTATTTTCTTTACCATCTATAATTCTATATTTTTGTAGTTTTTATCAATTATGTGTCTTCAGCGAATCAAAATACGATACTGATTCTGATGTGTGATCGCCAGTTTTTAAGTCATTTAAGTCATATGTTAAACATCCGTAAGCGCCATAATAGGGGAATTTATATCAATTTTAATATGACCTTGATATCGTTCAAGTTCTGCTTGGTGTGCAGAATCTGAAAAAGTTGAAAATTGACTAGTTTACGATTTGTGCCTTTATTTGTGACGAGATTCAAATGTTGTAATTCGTTTTTGAAATCTTGAGGATTGAGATGTAAAAGTCTTTCATTAAGACTTTGACGAAAGGATTCATGGTCGAGTCTATTTTTTTGCTGTTTGTAAGTACCTACGGGCAACCCAACAAAGTATCTCTCCTATTCATCCAACACTCAGAACACCACAGAGATATTTTGTTGTGTTGTTGTAAGTACTTACAACTACTTCTTCCTTTAAAAAGTGCGATGGGGTTTGAACATTTTGTAGTGTCAGATTTCTACTACCATTAAGGGTTTCCTGTGTATTTACAAATGTCCAATTTGAACAATTATTACTTGTTCTATCATAAAATATTGTGTTATAGTTTAAAAGTGTTGCATCAATGGTGATTGGAGTTACTCCTAAATAGTTTTTGTTCACGGAGACAGTGGCGATTGCTCTACTTGAGATACTTTTAGCTATATTGACAAATAATAAATGAGACCACTCAGGATCCCATGCAAAATCTGTTTGGTCTGCTAATATTGTTTAATCGTCTGATGTTTGTTGCTGTTGAGGTTAAATCTAAATTGTGTAAAAAACAATCTATCATGATGCATGCTAGGATTCTTCGTAGATCAAATTTTACTATTTGTGATATTTCATTATCGGTGAGTGTTGTGAATGTTTTAAGATCTAAAATCTTACTTAGTGTTGTGATTTCGTGATTGAGGGTTGGAGAATAATAAATCAATCCACAAATTCAGGTATGATTGGAACACAAGTAGATCGTTAGATACTATTTTAGATCTTTTAAATATTGTGATTCTTTTAGCTTGGGTCAACTAAGATGCGAGGCTCAAGTGAAGGATGAGTAACCGAAGTTCTTCACTGTTTATCTTAGTTAAATTGGTTAGTTTTTCAAATTTTCTTTTAGTCCTGGTTCGTTGATAAGGGTTGGAAAGTGAATCGATGTTTGAGGTCGTTAGTTATTTTATCTAGGAGGTTAGGGGAAGCCTTGATGTTCAAATAGTTTTAATTAACAAGAATTAAAATTTGAGATTAGGGTAAAATTTAAAGATCCAAGGATAGCCTTCATAATCTGATGTTTTAGGTTAGTACAAAGCAAGGAAGGCTGTGGCATTACTTAATTTTCAGTAAAATACTTGTAAGTTAAGAAAAATAGTTTAAATTTTTTAGAAAGAAGTGATTTAAAGATTACAAATTTAAATGACATTAGACTTTGAAGAATTATGTTTGTATTTTAGGAGGAAACAAGGATGAGGAGGGATGAAAAAATTTAAAAAAGTGAAAAGATAAGATCCCATGAGAAGCAAAGAACTTTGATAAACTAAATAAAACTAATTTTAAATTTACTTTAATTTTAAAACTAATTTTTTTGTTTTTTCATCAACACATTTTAATTTTACAAAACCTTTAAAATTACAAATTACTGCAAATTTGATGAAAGGAACGACTTCTGTGTTTTTCATCAGGCGTTATTATGGTTATATAATATGCCAATACATCATCAAGAAATATTTTGCTTCGAAAAAAATATTATTGCGCCAAGTAATTTATTTTCATGTTAGGTAATGAAAATACTGCATGAAGAAGTCTGTAGAGAAATAGTTGCAGTTTGCGTCGTGTCATGATGTAGAAGCTTGGTTTGTTGTTCAGTTTTTCACCTAGTGTTTGCCGTATCTTTTGAAATAAGGGAGTAGACGTTTTGAGACGTAGAGCCATATCTATTAGAGTGCCTATGCTATCTAACATTTTGCAATTTTGCTAATCAGATTTTGATCTTGTTTCTAATTCTGTACTGCTAAATCAAAGTTGTTAGTAGGTCTTATTCGAGACATTTTGGTCGCACCAGATTAGTCTATGCCTAGAGTAGCTTACTCATAGAGTAATTTCAGATAATGTACAGCGTCTGTTCGTCATCTTATTTTGGACCGGATAGATTCGTGCAACTTCTTAGTCTAATACCAATCCTAATTTTACTCTTTTATCTCCTTGTCTCAATTTATCTAGTGTATACTGGTATCTGCGGCTGATGTATCTGGAATTTCTTCCAAAAGAGAACAACCTCCTTGTCTCTTAAAATATATTTAAGTTATTCTGGTGCTGAAACTACAAGTAGTTTCAGCATTACAAACATTTGTCAGTGTTAGTTATGGATCATGATTGGTTGGTAAGAAATACTTTCTAGAGATAGTTTTATCAAGAATATAATTGGTTATAAATACTAGTTTTAAACTGGTTTCACTTCTGTTTTATAAGCCGCACTCTGCCATTTCTGCCAAAATCTTTGGGTCCTGGTTTGCTGGGACCCCTCTAGCACACTTGTACCAATTGGCTAATTAGCCAACCAGATTCGACTACATTAATTTCAGTTCAAGAGATGTAGAACTATTTTTTGGTCCGTTTGGTGCGTGAGGCACGTGGTGGAGATTCTTTAGTGGATACCATAGGCGAGCAGATTGTTAAGTGGATCTGTAATGTTCAACACTCTCAAAAAACGGAAACTCACAAAAGGGGAAAACGTGGTGTTTTTTTTAAATTTTTGTCTATAATTGAAATGCACACCAACCCCATCCCCCTTCCCCTCGATTTCAATGCCTAAACCCAATCTTGCAACAAGAACGATAACTCCTTGGAGCAAATCCTACCTGCTCTGTAAAAGTGTGCAAAAATCTATGTCTGTCTGTTGGTCGAATTTACGTTTCAACGGGGACCGTAAATTTAGCATACAGATAAAATAGAATAAAAAAAATTGAAATTTTAAAAAGGTGTCTAATTAATTATTAGCCGATCGGATTTCATGATACTAAAACTACTCACAACATTGCGGCTATCAATTTCATTGTTTCATATAGGAATACTGGTTGTAACTGAGCACAACAAAAAAATTACTTGACTTTTATGCAGTTTTTTGGTGAAAAATAGTGAAAATGATCAAAAAGTCAAGCATCTACCACTAAATGGCCATGCCGAAATGTTCATCTAGCTTTTCAGAACACGATATGTTTTGTTCTTCTATAATGGCAAATTTAGCTACAAAAAGCTCGCAATTACACGTAAAGTGATTAATAAAAGTTAGACAAAATTTTCGAAAATTTTTCGAAAATTAACCCCCCCCCCCCCTTCCCCCTCTCGACTCTCGAAAAAATCCTAGATCCGCCCCTCATTCCAGGTATACAATTATTTCTCTAGTTAATGTAACAACCATTTCACTTCACAACTATGGCGGAACTATAGTTGAGGAGGAGCTATGGTGTAGATTGTGCTTTTCTCCTAGGGGATGTTGGTTTTCATCAAAGAAATTTTGTAGCGGTCAGGCGCGGTATTATCGGAAGACACTTTTAGACGTGACTCGCTTTTTCCGAAAAAAAGCAAAAATGTTGACTAAGCTTCAAAAAAACGGTTTGACAGACTAATTGACACGAAATTTACGAATGACACGAGGAGAAACTGAACTCAATTTATATCTTTTGCAATTTTTTACTTTAACTTAACTAATATTACCTTTCATTTTTGCAAATTTTACATTATTCAATTGCCCGTTAATGAAAGAAAAGGAAGTATTTTGGCCAAAAAACGAAAAATGTTTTGAAGACAAAAAAATGATTTTGAAGCTATGAGTGTTACAAGAAATGTATAAAACATTATAGTTTAAGATTTGAAGAGCATCAGTTTTGAGTGAACACCGAACAAAAAAAACTGAATTTTTTCGATTTTGAAAAACTTTTCTTGTTTTCTTAGTTTATTTTCTTCAATCGTTGTGGTAGGATCATTCTGTGCTATTTACAGAGCAATCGGACATGCTTGTGGTATTAAGTGTTTGAATATACTTTTACCTTGCCAGTTGTTTGATGTCATCCGAGGTGACAGTGCAGTCCACATCCCCCTCCATTGGCTCTCCCTCCCCCACCCGCCTCCGTCTCTCCCTCTCCTCCTCCATCCAGAGGGGGGCATCATAGATCCCACTCATTACACACGCCTCCAATATCTCCTGCAAATCCTCCAAATCTGCCATGCTTTTTTGATTAATACCAATAATTATAATTTATAATAGGTTTGGGGATCTTTCTATATTCTGATATCAAATGGTAACTGAAATAATTGACCAAATAAGCTGTTTGGAGCTTTCTGAAGCAGTTTTGTTCAGTTATCTTTGCAGAAGTGATTATATTTCAAGCATTTGCAGTGTTTGAACTAGTTTTTACATTTAATTGTGAGCTTTTTAGGACTGAATGATTACGCTTGATCGAAATGGCATCGATTTGAACTTGAAAATTAGGTGCAAAATCTTTTAAAAGGGCGGAGGTAATGCGATAATCTGACTTTCAAATGACCATAAATAAGCTTTTTGATTTAAGATTTAAGTAAAAACTGACAAATTGAAAAATGTACAAGCTTATAAAACTGTAAGGCTGAAAAAACAATGAGAATGTTAATTTGTCAATTGTCACATTCCATTAGGCATGAAAAGAATATTTGGGTAAGCTATTTTTCTTAAGAACGCGTCAATATTTTTTCCGATAAATTGACTTCCCTTTTTGTAAAAAAAAAACATTATTTTGACGTAAATAATACAAACAATATTTCAAATGAGTATTAAATGAACGAGCAATTATGTGACCACTTCAGATAAACATAACCATCACTTTGTGTGCGTCATCAGTTATTGTGCTAAGGGTAACCGTACCGTTTCCATTTGAGTAAGTAATCACATTTTTCTTTTTTAAAGCATAATGCTAAGGAGACAAATTAAGCGAAAAAATGAACCCTCAATTTTTCATCTGCTTTTAGCGTTTCTTTCAAAGGAAGGCTGATTGATCTCATCTTAAAATACGTTTAAAGGGCTAAGAAACCAGTCAAGAAGCCTATTTTTAGGTTAATAATTAGGAACTACTCCGTTCAACGGTGCTTCTATAAAACAATGAGATGAGAAAACAATTTATTCAACACCCGATATAAAACGTGAACGACAATTCAGCTAAAAATTGCAAAAACCCTAGTTGTTCGAAAGCCTTTGTCCAAAATAAGCTTTCGTTTTTCGTCTATTTATGGTTCTCTTTTCAATGATCAACATTTTTTCATTCTGTTGTCGGGTTAATTTCTTATCTGTTGTTTGCACTGACGCAGGTTTAGCGACCTATCTTGGGCGAGGTGAGAAATTGGAAAACAATAATGACAAGCATACTTGGCCAGGAGGCGACCCATTAAAAGTGAATTCTCCCCTCTAACTATTTCCTGTTTCCTTGTTTGGTGTTCTGTGATGCCATTTGTATCGTCATGGTATACGGGTGAACAAATCGGACATTTTTGCATAAATCACCATTGTTTGTTGCTCTTTTAAAAAAAGAAACTCGACACAAAAGAGTGAGAAGGAAGTCATTTAAGGGGTAGAGTGAAGGAATGCTTGGAATGGAATATAAATTTCGTTTTTTTATCCTTTTTTTGGTTTTCATTTTCATCGGAGCTCCCCATGCTTATACAAAATGATAAAAAAAATACTTCAAACAAGAATTGCTGTGTTTGTGAAAAGTACGGACAGCTCCGACTACTTATCTTTGATACATGAGAGGTGCCAGACAATAAATAGAGTTAGAGAGCTAAAAAAAAAGCAGTTTCATTTTTGTCTAAAAAACTTTTAGCGATAGAGTTAACATCCCTCTTACCACATAGACCAAGTTAAGATCCTC